TTGAACTCTGAATTACGGTGTCTGGCGTTTTGACCTGAGCAAGGAACTATAGGGAAGAAATTCTTCTAACAGTTTGATAGCATCGAAAGCCAATCAGAGGTCTTACAAGACCAGGATAGGCTTCCTATCCCTGTCCAAGTCATCCCCAAGATCATCTACCAGAGTGTCCAGTGTCATCTCAGACCTGTATCTAGGCCTGAGTCCTGGCTAATAGGAGTCCAGATAATCCATTACTCTAGAGTGCTCTATAGTTGGTCTTGAACCACCATCTTGACAAACTTCACTTCACAGGAAGATCAGAGACTGGGTAATAGTTGTCTAGCAACTGTGGATCCAGAGAGTTTTTTTTAAGGAAGGGACATATCATAGCCTCATTCGAAGCTTCAGTACTGTCTTCTTCTGCAAGTATTAACAACCTCTCAGATCCAGGAAACTACCCAACCCTCCAGCCACCCGAAGGAGCCAGAAGAGGCAAAGATCCAGCCTTCAGATAACTGAAGACACCCACAGAGCACCCTATCTACTTCCTTGGTGATAGCAGGCTTAAAGGAATCCCAGACAGCAAAGCCAAACCATACCCCAGTCATCACACCGGACCTTGTGTGTGTGGAGCACAGATTAGCGTGAACCTGAGTGACTTGTAAAATGTGCTAATTAATTAGTCACAATGGCTGGATGGAAACTCTGGGGGCTGACTCTTATCCAGGAAGGAACTGGACACCCAAAACAAGTCCTAACCAGGCCAGACACTGCTTAGTGTTTGAGCCCAGCAAAGTCAGCCACTTGCTGAGGGGACCTCCAGGACCTTTTTGCTTCTGATGAACATGTTTTATAGATGCATGAATTGTTTTCGAACCTGTTCGATCAGATACAAGACAATGAAGAAGCAGAATAAACATCCAGGCTCTCTTAAAAATAAAATGATTATCTGCTACCAACTTCTTAATTGATGGTATCAGAGACTCTTCTCCGCACATTTATATTTTGAAAGTAGCCTCACACACACACAGAGCCATCTTTATCAGGATGTTGGCAACAAATCTTGCAATAATTTATATAATTTTACACAAAGCTCTGCTGTACATTTCAGCTGCCTTATAGAATCAAAAAATGCCCTTTAATGTTTCCAGATAGAGCTGTGGCTCTGTAGAACATTGTTCCTAGGCTTCTAAAGTGGTTATTTTTGCATGCTAATCGCCTTGTTATATTGTTCCTAGAATGTAGCCATCAAGGTGGCCTTTGATATCTATTCTTTGCTTTAAACTTCTGCGAGATGGATTATCTGGTATTCAGTAACCTAATATCGCTGATGGTTATGTAGGGCATCACTGCAAATTAGATTTTCTTCATGTGAAATGATACACCCTGATTCATTGATTCTACTTTATTAAATTACAGATATGGAGACCACATGGTTCTGTGGTTAGCATAAATGATTAAGAGCTAGAATTTCTGCTACGCTTTGGTAGAGTGATTTGACAAGGTCAAATCAAGGTTTTTGAGCTAGGAGTTGGTGATAAATTCATTCATATGAAGAACAAAATTAAGATGTGCAAAATTCCTGGGTCAGGTAGAGAAAGCCTATCAGGAAATAACTCCCTGTTAGGGTCTCTTCTGAGTTAGAGGCTGAAGGACCTGAGCTGACAAGTTGGAAACCTCGACTTTGTGGAGTGCCTCAGGGCCATCTACTCTCTTCACTCATTTTTAACAACTACGTAAAACTGCTGGGGGAAGAATCTGTTGACATGAGGATCTATATCTTCAATGTGCTGATGATACCCAACTACACCTCTTGGCCCCAGGCCAAGCAGGCAATGCAATCAAGGTGCTGACTCAATGTCTGGAGTCTGTCAGGGTCTGGATAGGGAAGAAGAGACTTGGACTGGATCCCTCCAAGACAAAGAGGCTTTGGTTTTGTGGGCCTAATGATTCCAGAGAAATACCAACTTTGCCTCGGAATGGAATTGTATTCTCCTATTCAGAGATGGCTTGCGATTTGGGGGTCCTCCTAGATTCACAGCTCCAACTTGATAAGCAGGTTGTAGCTGTAGCTAGGAAGGCTTTTGCACAGTTACATCATGCGTGTCAATTGTGGCCATCCTTGGATCAAGTGGCTCTCCTCACACCCTAATCACCTCTTGTTTGGATTATTGCAATGCACTGTGCAGAGGTCTGCCCTTGAAGAACAGTCAGAAGCTACAGCTGGCACAGAACATGGCCACCTGGGCAATAATAGTTGTATCTCATTGTGACCCTACTGCTTATGGACCTGCACTACTTGCCCGTTGGGTTCCTGGTATCAAATTCAAGGGGTTGCTTGTCAACTTTAAGGCTCTTCCTGGCTCTAGACCTCATTATCTGAAGAAACACCTTCTCCAGTATTCATCTGCCTGTCCAACCAGATCAAACAGAGTCAACTTCCTCCCAGTCCCAACCTTATGAGACTGCCATCTGATGGGGCCTCAGCAGCAGGCTTTTTCAGTAGATGCCCCCATTCTTTGGAACTCCCTTTCTGTGAAGATCTGGTCAGCACCATCTCTCCTGGGCTTTAGGAAAGCTGTCAAGTTTCACCTGTTCCATCTAGCACAGTGGTTCTTAAATTGTTTGATCCAATTACCCCTTTTCCCAGTCTTGAATCATGTCATTGTCTCCAAAAAACAAAACCAGATTCTGTTGTTTTAAACAAGAGTCTTGACAGTGGCAGTCCCAAACTGGATCCTTGACTCACAAACAAGCAATTACAAATTGCTCCATTACCCCCAGGATATGCCCAAATTAC